TGAGGTGGTTCGGGCATCTGATCCGGATGCCCCCGGGACGCCTCCCGGTGGGGGTGTACCAGGCACGGCCTACCGGAATAAGACCCCGGGGTCGTCCTAGGACCCGCTGGAGGGATTATATCTCCAAGTTGGCCTGGGAGCGGCTTGGGGTCCCCGGGAATGAGCTGGAGGAAGTTGCGGGGGACAGGGTCACCTGGGATTCTCTGCTCTCCCAACTGCTACCGCGACCCTATCTGGATTAAGCGGTTAACGATGATGATGATGATGATGATATCCGTGTAAACGCCTGTATCTGATTACATTCCCTATCGGAAAGTTTAAGTCCGTTCTGATCATGTTCGTCACGTCATAGTGAAAGTTTATACCGTTCAACATGGCGGAGCAGAAACTGGTCTGCAGAGGAGACGAGGTTTATGCTCTGATCTTTAAAAGACGGCGGTGGGACGGACGTCCAGCTTATGTGTCTCAGAACACGACGTCTTCCTCTCGGCCTTCTTTAATGAGGACATGTGAAGGACGTTTTCCTGAGTCTGACATCATTTTAAAGTAATTAAAAACACAAGCACTGCTCACTGCTGCTCATCTCACTCTGACTGGACTCACGTGATGCTGGTTGCCATGGTAACATCTACACTAAAGCTGTGTCCCAATTCAGGGGGTGCATCCTTCGAAGGCTGCGTAGACCCATGAATGCTGAATCGAAATGAGACGGTGGATTTCCATCACAGCACGGCTGTTCCCGCCCTTACCGCTGCGCATGAAACGCCGCTTCTGTCAAGTTCTTTTAAAGTTCTTTAAACATTGATTTTAGTTGTTTATTTTTTCATTTATTAGAGCTGGAGATGCTTCTTTCTGTCGGCTCTTTGCTCCCTAAAACAAAACGAAATGTTAGCGTAAGTTTAGCTTCAGACCACATTGGCTTTTTAACATTAGTATCGTTCGCTATTCGACTCAGTTTAAACCCAATACTTACATTTAAACGTGTCCTCAGCCGCCGTTCGCTCCTTTGTTGATGCCGCCGTGTTCTCGAATCCTCACCGGCACGCAGTGAACCTCGGGATATGTTGGCAGGTGAAGGATCCACCCGTTGCCATGGGAAAAGAAGGACACGTTTCTTGGCCCCATATGAAGGAGCCATGGGACGGCGAAGTTGCGCCGCTGTGACGCAATCGGCCTTCAAATGCAGCCTCCGAAGGATGCAGCCCCTGAAATGGGACACAGCCTTAGTAGTTGTCTATGCATGCACGTATTTTGGATCTGATTACTTGTAGTGAGCATGTAAACAGAGACTTTTCATCAGATTGTTGAGTAGAGTGAACATAAACACCTCAGTCTTAATCTATAATCGGAATGCATTCACAGACAGTGAAACAGATAAACAGGCACATGCTATGATCTCTATTGTTTATGTTGTTGTCATAACAGGAATTGCTGTTGTTTGAGAGTGAATGAACACACAACACACTGCTCACTTCATTAGATTCAAACTGACTCCTGAATCCATTACGGCTGCTGTAAAAACGAGTTTACAGATGGCTCTGCTTCAGAAAGGGCCACAAATCAGAGTCAACAGAGCCAGCGAATCAGAGAGCGAGACGAAATTCTGCTACAGGCGCGGAAATGCACTCACTGTCCAAAACCACACTTGCAGATGGAACAGCTGATGGGATGAAAATGAAGCCAGCAGGAGCCAGAGTTAAAGCCCTTTTAGCACGGCCACTTTATCAGAAACACCTCCCTTATAGCTCCACCTTGCTGGTGTCCAGTTACAGCCCGTGAGTTTTTCTTTCAGCGTCCCTTTAGTCCATTTTATGAGATCCACTGACCATATAGTTTCACTTTGTAGTTCTACAGTTACAGACTGTAGTCCATCTGTTTCTCTGCATACTTTGTTATCCTGTTCTTCAGTGGTCAGGACCCCCATAGGACCCCCACAGAGCAGGTACTATTTGGGTGGTGGGTCATTCTCAGCACTGCAGTAACACTGACGTGGTGGTGGTGTGTTAGTGTGTGTGTTGTGCTGGTGCGAGTGGATCAGACACAGCAGTGCTGCTGGAGTTTTTAAACACTGTGTCCACTCACTGTCCACTCTATTAGACACTCCTACCTTGTCGGTCCACCTTGTAGATGTAAAGTCAGAGACGATAGCTCATCTGCTGCTGCACAGTTTGTGTTGGTCATCCTCTAGTCCTTCATCAGTGGTCACAGGACGCTGCCCACAGGACGCTTTTGGCTGGATATTTTTGGTTGGTGGACTATTCTCAGTCCAGCAGCGACACTGAGGTGTTTAAAAACTCCAGCAGCACTGATGTGTCTGATCCACTCAGACCAGCGCAACACACACTAACACACCACCACCACGTCAGTGTTACTGCAGTGCTGAGAATGATCCACCACCCAAATAGTACCTGCTCTGTGAGGGTCCATGGGGGTCCTGACCACTGAAGAACAGGGTAAAAGGGGGCTAACAAAGTATCAGAGAAACAGATGGACTACAGTCTGTAACTGTAGAACTACAAAGTGCACCTATATAGTAAGTGGAGCTGATAAAATGGACAATGAGCGTAGAAACAAGGAGGTGGACCTATTTATTCTTTTATTATTTCAGGGCTGCCAACTCTCACACTTTGGCTGTGAGATTCACGCATTTAGGCCTGATCTCACGTTCTCACGCCACACTCGACATTTCTCAGGCATTTTGCATCTCTCCTCAAAATGGTCTACTGATGAACCTGAACACACATAAAGTTTCCAACTACTCCAGCTTTACTGACTGAAAACACTCTGGACTGGCAACGATGGTTTACTTGAATTGAGAAGAACGAGAGCACGCTAGCTAGCCAGTGTTTTAGAGCAGTGGAGGTTGGGATCAGTATCCATAGCAACAGTAAACCAGTGACAGATCACTGTAGAAGACGAATTGCAATAAAGATGTGCTGCACTGGTGTCAGAGTGAAAAACACATGACAGACGGAAACAACTAGCAAGAACTGAAGGAAAATGAAAAGGTTAATAACCGACTTTGTCAACAAGACAATTCTTTGATAAAATAGTTTATAATAGTTTACATTATTTTTATTAGTAAGTTAGGCAAAATATATATTTGTGTATATTGTAGTTTACTTAAAAGATAGTTTTATTTTAAATGGAAATAAGTAGTGTTGATGTGGAAACAGATGTCAGTATGGTAAAGATCTGATGCTGATGGATAGTGGCTGGATAATTAAAAATAGCTTTATTCCTAAAAAAAAATAGTTAAAATTAAAAATAATCTTTGTTTTAAACATTTGTATGTAATGGCATTCATAACTGTTCATCTAGAAGGTACAATAATGAGCATTAAGAGTAGCACACAGGAAAAAGAAATTAAAAAACTAAAAAACAAAAAAAAACAGACACTCAACTTCATACCACCCACCCTTGTGGTCATATCCCCCCAACACCACCTCTCTGACCCACAGACTTCTCAATCAAACAGAAATGTGAAAGTTGGGTAGCGCTGTAATTTTCCGAATGCTTCAGTCGAAGCACAAGCTCGCTTCATCTCACTAGCAAGCTAGCTACCTTAGCAAGTAACCGACGAGTTCTGTTGGGTCTAAATTTTGCCTTTGAACCACATAAACCACCTCCAAACAATTGACCTCCTGATCTTTACTGACATCCTCATGATTATGCTAACTTACTGTGGATTCAGAGAAGAGAAGGAGAGCCGTTGTTGTTTGCTGACTGTGATGAATACTGTTTTACTCTCGCCTGATTGGTTAAATGCAAAGTGGCGGCTGCATTCATTTGCATAAAGTTGAGCTCTGCTGAACTTTTTCACCGTGAGGCGGATTTCTCCGCTCCACAAACCACCCTGGGCAGAGTTCTCCATTGGAATAAACAGGATGCGGCGAAGCGAAGCTGCCATTAGACGCGTACCTAAAAAAACTGCCTTTAAAAAAACTGTTCTGCACTTCTTCACAACAATGTTTCTGAGCAACATATACAGCCTGGGATGCAAATTAGGTCTGACAAGTGTGGGAGCATCGAGAGGCTGTGCTGTCCACACAGTGCTAACACCTAGAAATGACAGAATATCAAATTTTCATTTCCAGATCTGATTTTAATACATACAGGACACACTATAATCAGATGATTGTTCAAGTGTTCTTTAGTAAAGACAATGATTCTGTTTAGAAACCATGAGTTCTGTCTTTGCATGATGAAATGGTTCTTCAGTTTGATGGAGAATGTGATGTATATGGTTCTATATAGTATATGCATGACCTTTTATTGTATATGTATGTATATATAATACATGTTTATCGATGTTGTCGGAACAAAACCTCGTATCTCCAAAATGGTAACTTTACAGGAGAAGGAAAAAACATGCTTTACTTTTAATGTAAGTCAATGGAACCAGATGTTTTTCGAAGTAATTTTGGGCTGTTTCTTTTGGTCCATTCATCATGAAATTTACTCAAAATGTAAAGGGTGACAAATTATATCAAAAACTGAAAAACGGAGATATGAGGTTTTGTTCTGGGAGCAGCGATACACACAACACATATATCACTGCTGTCGGAAGAAAATTGTCCTTTATATTGTGTGTAAATTTGTAAACGGACCAAAAGAAACGGCCCAAAATTACTTGGATTAACATTCTGGTTCCATTGACTTACATTAGAAGTAAAGCATGTTTTTCCTTCTCCTGTAAAGTTACCATTTTGGAGATACAAGGTTTTCTTCCAACAACAGCAAACGCAGCCCGTACGTATAGATGGACATATAGAGTGTGTGTGTGTTGGTCTAAGCAGGGGTCAAAGTTCGTGTGCGTGTCTCTGGTGAACTGTGTATGATGACTTGTCAAAACGAGCATGTGATGAACCGTCTGTGTGTGTGTGTTTTTGTGTGTGTGTGTGTGTGTTTGTTTACACCCTCAGGGTCTGAAGGCCATGGACTCTAACGGACTCGCCGATCCTTATGTGAAGCTCCACCTCCTGCCTGGAGCCAGCAAGGTCAGCACAACCTTCCACACACACACACACACCCCCACACACCGCTGTGGAGCGTCTGGACATGCACACATACACACGCACACATACACACACACACACACACACACACACACACACACACACACACACACCGCTGTGGAGCGTCTGGACTCACACTTACACACACACTCTCATGCACAGAGAAGTGAGAAGGTGTTGGAGGTGCTGAAATTTTAAAGGAAAAATCTAATTTACACAGTTTTCCACTCAGCCCAGATGTAGCCGATCAGCCAGGACATGTTTGGAGTCCAAATTCTGCTTCTTTAGTTTAGAGCTGGAACTACGAGGCTAACGTCGCTAACACTAGAAGTCAATGCCAGAGAGGGCAATCGGGAGAATGTCCAGTGGGCCTGTAGTGTTTAGAGCTGATTAATGTGAGCTAATGAATAAACTCAAAAGAGCACTTAGACAAACTACCCAGAGGAAAACAGGTCTTTCTAAAGATTGTCTCAGAGAAATAAAGCAGATCTCAATATTATATTAATGAAGAATCAATGATTTCTGAATTGCTTCTCCTGAACCTCCTCAGGAGAAAAGAGGAGATCAACATCAGAGTCTCACTGTGAGACGCTCTGGTGATGGAGGAGAAAAGCATGAGTTCTCCTTCTGCACTCACAGACTGCTGAGAGGGTTCTGTGATCTAGAACAGAGCTGTATAAGAGAACGATGAGATCTCACACTGTTCTTATGGAGATATTACTCAGCTGAGACTGGACTGAGACGAGTCAGACTCTAAAGAGTTAATCGACATGTGGTACGACATTTTGATCAAAGTGAGAAAATCTGAGTTTTATTTCTCAGGAGCCGAATTTCAGAAACAGGAGAAAACAGCTTCAGTCTCACTCTGATTTAAACTGGACTGAACCACGTCTAGAAGAACCTGAGACCAAGAGGAGATCTCATTTAGAGTATTTCCTTCCTCTGGGTATAGATGTTACATCTGGGTGGGGGTTAAACAAGCGCGACCCCTCAAGTGCTACAGGCCCGGTTTGCTGTTTGTAACTCGTACTGTGGGGAGAGATTAGATGAAGCTGAAATGCTTCCTATTCTTATTTCCTGCTCCACCTTAAACGAGGCAGCACTTTCTTTCAGAAGCCTGCTCAGTCGCTAGCGTGTAGCTGCTGCACTATTTAAGGTGAACAAAGGAGGCGTTCCTCGTCCGTATCTCCTATAAAATCAACCTCAAATTGAACTTTGTTGGGACTGTCTGCTGACCGCTGCGGTGCTCCACTGAAAACAATGGAATATCTGGTTTGTCTTTCACCATCATAATACTACTGTTTGGCCACCTAGTGTCCCAGAGATCACAGAATTCCCCGGAATCTGGATTTAAGGCCCGAATTTGAGAACCTCTGTTATACATCATCACTATACATGCACATATCACACACACATATTTCCCCTGTTGCTGTACAGCCTCTCCAGAATGACTTTGAAGAGGTCGAACACTCACACACATGCATATGTGGATGCGCTCATGCATGCACATGTCACACACACACACACACACACATACACACACACACACACACACATACATAAACACTCCAGAGGCGTAGACAGATTTCATGTTCGGGGGGGTTGGTTACAGGCCTCGGGGGGGTAAGCTTGTATCCGTAATGTCCCAAAGTCATCGCCAACTAGCAAACTTCACTGCAGATAAATTGTGACCCCCGTTACTGTAATAAGGGCGAAAAATTTAGTATTAAACACAAAGTATTAAACACAACACAAATTACCTCATATTTAACTGGCTAACAATGTTAGTTACTTTGCTGACAACGTACCATGGACTAAGCTCAGGCTGTCCTCTTATTTGAATTGTCCGTTCCACATTAAATAGTACAGCAATTAACTCCAATAAGAAACTGGCAAATAAGAAACCAACTTCAGCCTTATATAAGGCGGGTAAAGCCTAATTAGGGCCTAACTGGTTGGCCAATAATATCGGCCAATATTAGTGGCATGCAGCATTGTCGATATTAGCCGATACTACAATAATGTTGGCAAATTGGCAAACGAAAAGTTTGAAAAAATAAGATAAATAAAAGGTAAGATCAATTTTGTAACAGTCAGAAATCCTGGAGATTGAGAAAATGTTCAAATGTTCTCTTAATTTAGGGGCTAAGATTTGTGCGTTAGGTCTCGACGGCTTACCTTGAAATTTTTCAGGTACATATTTGCTGCACATTCTTTACGATTGTGCTAAAAAATGCATTTTATATCTTTGGATGACAGATAAAGCACCTACTGTAAATCAGTGTCAGCGGCCTGTAATGAGTATCATTCTGTTTGAGGTGTTCTTTTCAGCTCTGAAAGACATGCTTTATTTTTTTTTAAAATATTATAATTATTGTTATTATTATTATTATTATTATTATTATTGTTATTATTATTATTTATTACCCCCTCAAGTCTTGTGTTATTTTTAATTGTTTTGTTCTGCTGTTTATATAATTATATCTTTGTTTGCCAAAATATGATTTACAAAATATAAAAATATAATACTTTATATAAATTTAAAAAAACCTTTGTGGGGGGAGGGGGGGGGTCCTGTTTCCGGTCCTGTTTTTTGCAATAACTGGTTCTTCACTCATCTGTTGATGTTGCTGATTGGCCACTGAGTGTCTCACCTACAAGTGATTACAAAATCCAGGACTGGAATCTGGATTTAGAGTCTGGATCTGAAGAGCTCATTTACACAACCTCACTCTGCACACATACATCACACATTTCCTCTAACACTGCACAGCATCAGCATGACTGTGAAGAGGCCTGACTCACACACACACATGCACGCGCACACACACACACACACACACACACACACACACAGACTCACACTCGCGCACACACACACACTCACACACACTTAATCTCTCTATTGGAATGCACACACACACAGCAGAGCAGGTAATGATCAGATTCTGAAACACCTCAGGACACATCAGGGTTCCACAGGTTAAAAGAGAATTCCACCCATTTTCTCCATAACTCAGTGTGTGAGATGTAAACAGAGAGATTCAGAGTGGTTTGGTGTGAAATGGTTCAGATGTCTTTACAGTGGTGGTGATAGGAACCAGGGGTCGCCATGACTACAACACAGATATAGACATTTTATTAACTATCCAAAACCACCAGTGAACCTACACGAGTCTTCTGAGTTTATATGGAATGTTGATGATGGAAAATAGTGGAAAATCTGAAATAATGTTTTCTTTGGGGACTATTTTGCCTCACAACGCCCTGCGTATTATACATCCCTCCACCATGAGTGGAGTTTAAGGCCAAAATCTTTTCAAAACTATCATAAAACAGTGTCTCAGTCATCAGGCAGTGAATTCATAACCATTTACTGTAGTAACTTTCTGTGAGGGAGCTTTTACAGGTGGACGTCTGGTTCCTATCACCACCACTGTGAACGATTCTGACTCGGTAAGTTTCTCTAGAACTGGGCGTTTCACACCAAACCACTCTGAATGACTCTGTTCACATCTTAAACATTTAATTATGCAGGAATTTTGAAAAATGGATGGAGTTCCCCTTTAAACCCAGTGTCAGTGTGTATAAGCTCTCCAGTGCTTATCTGTTACCACACCTGTGTGTGTGTGTGTCCTGTGTCTGTGCTTATGAGCGGTACATGTACGCACTACATGACGTTCTCCCCTCTGACACTCTCTCACACACACAGACACACACACACACACACACACTCTCTCTCTCTCTCTCTCTCTCTCTCTCTCACACACACACTGTTGACGTGAGTCGTATAACAATCTGCTCTGTTTCCATGACAACCACCTGCTGCTGTCCCCCCTCATCTGTCTCTCTCTCTCTCTGTCTCTCTCTGTCTCTCCCCAACACTGTGATGGTATTCCAAGGTCACAGAGGGTCACACTGAGATGGACAGATAACAGTAGAGAGAGAGAGAGAAAGAGAGAGAGAGAGAGAGAGAGAGAGAGAGAGAGAGAGAGAGAGAGAGAGAGATTGCTGTAACACAGGTTCTTGCAAAACAACCCAAAACAATACTCACCTTGAACTGAACTGAAGTGCGTGAGAGAGAGAGAGAGAGAGAGAGAGAGAGAGAGAGAGAGAGAGAGAGAGAGAGAGGGAGAGAGAGAAAGATTATAAAGGAGAGAGAAAGAGAAAGACACAAAGAGAAGGATGAAGGAGAGATAGAGAAAGAGGAGATAAAGAGAGATGAAGGATAAAAGAAAGAGATTCAAAGAGAAGGTGAGAAAAGGAGTGAGTGAGACAGAGAGAGAGAAGGAATGAGAGAGAGGGGGGATAAAGGAGAGAAAGAGAAGGAGAGAGGGAGAGAAAGGGAAAAGGAAAGAGAGACGGGGTAGAGGAGAGAGAACAGGAGTGAAAGGAGAGAAAAGGGGGAAAAGGAAAAAGGGAAAGATAGAGAGAATAAGAGAGAGTTAAAGGAGAGAGAACAAGAGTGAAAAGAGAGAGAAAGAGATAAAAGGAAAGAGAAGGAGAAAGAGTGAAGGGGTTAAAGGAGAGAGAGCAGGAGAGAATGGAGAGAGAGAAAGAGGGAAAATGAAAGGGTGAAGGAGAGAGGATTAAAAGGGAGAGAAAGAGAGGGAAGAGAGAAAGAGTGAAAGAGAGAGAGAGACTCCATCATGCATCAGTGTAGTATTTCTCTGTGCTTCTGTATGAGCGTAGCTAAATGCTAATGCTAACCCGTTATTGTTTTTAGTGAAAAGTGTGTTTCTCTACTAAAGTCCCCACAACTACACAGTCTGTTCCCGTTTTTATCAGACTGGAGGGGTTTGGTCCCCACAATGAGGTTAATACGCGTTCAGAGAGACACTCCTGTTCACTTTTCTCCCTCTGTCCTTTTCCTTTATTTATTTATTGTGCGTTTTCCGTGTGGTTTCACTTTGACACACTGCGGGTCGTAAGTGCGCGCGCGTGCGTGCGTGCGTGTGTGTGCGTGTGTGTGTGTGTGTGTG